ATCCCCATTTTCACGGCCAGAAAAGACCGATTTCGTTTATGCTTTATAAAAATCAGAGTACCTCTTAATAAAAATATTGCGGAATTTGTTCCCAGTAAAACATGATAAATACGTTATCAAAGCATTTCCGAAGAAAAGTATTTTTATTCATTTTAAAACATTTGGGATGTCATCGTCAATACAGAAACATAAGCATAAACAGAACTTACATTCATTATCACTAGTGATCCTTAATCTCTGTGTAATGTGACTTCATATCAACACCTGTGATATAAATAAACTGAGTGAGTCAGGTTGGGAAACCTGGTGAGTACATAGGGTTTTCAACCCACAATAATATAATTATTATGTTTAATCATCAAACAGTTAACCCAATTACCCATCCCCATTATCTTCTTTACTCTTAAGGATCTACCCTAAGAATTAACTATTTGTCATTCATTCATTCCTAAGGATTATCCTAAGGAATAGGTACGAAGTCCATCGTTGTCAATGACACAGCTGTCAAGCACAGCTGCTAGTTCTATCACTTAGGCGCAACTGCCAGAATTATGACATTCTCTATGAGGCGCAGCTGCCAGTATTGTCCTTCGAGCACAACTGCTAGGGTTATCTCGTTTATTGACAATATCGTTTTCGAGAATCCACTCATGTCAATGGGTTTTTAGAGTACACCGGTGAACACATCGTTCACAACACCTACAGGTTGCGAGCCTGCTAGTGTTCCACTGGACTGTCTAGAATAGTCCGTGGTTGTCATCCATACTCTGCTAGATGACGGGGCCAACATTTAGGGACAAGGCTTCTCACATCGTCCAGCTCTCACCCTTACCTCATGGTCTATATCACCTCTCAACTCATCATCCAACTCATATTTTATCTACCCATGTTTTACCCAACATATTATGTAGATATAAATACATATACAGTTTAAATAATATAAAACTTGTATAAAATTGTTCATCCAGCATAGATAGCAAGTATACGGATAATATGCACACATAACACGTAGTTTATATAAAATACTTCATATCTATGTGTAAGATGAAAGAGACCATGCACTCACTTGAAAAGGTGGTGATTCCGAACTCAGACAGCGCTTCGCTTCTTAAAAATAATTTCCTTCGACGAAACCTAGTATTATTACCACTAGAGTTTAGTCTATTATTCGCCGAGACTAATTAATAGTCTAGCTATTATTACTATTATATAAGCGTTAAACAATACTTATATAACCCATAATAATAGCCCAATTACTTATTATAAGTTCTTAATAACGTTACTATAATTAAATAAAAGCTATATTAAAAATAGCGTAGGCGTAGCTCACTTACAGCGGGTTTTATAGAAAATCGGGCTTTGCTTGGAGCAGCATTCCCGTGCGGAAAAGCTCTTCTTCTCGGAGCCGTCGAGCACTCCGGGGCTTCCGCCTCGTGCTAGGGAGGTTCCCTAGGCTTTTCGGGGGGTTTCGGGGCTAGAAAGAGGTTATAGAGAGAGAGTAAAAAGAAGAAAGAATGGGAAAGGTGTGAAGAAAATGAGGGTGGGAGAGGTTCTATTTATAGGGTGAAAATGGCTGAACTTGGTGCCACATGTCACCATCTAGTGGCAAGACTTGGGGAGAAAGCAATGGCCAAGATTGTGCCACATCACCCATTTTTGCACAACACACTTCCGACTTCTAAAATCCGTAACTTTCACATACGACCTTCGTTTTTGACGTTCTTTATATCCACGCGTAGGTAAAAATAAGATCTACAACTTTCATTTTGACTCCGTCGGCTAATTCTTGACCGATCTTAAATTTAACAGTACGAGGAGATTATATTGTTAAATGTCTGCGTAAAATTCATAACTTCTACATACGGACTCTGTTTTCGTCTGTCTTTTTACCGTTGAGTTCCTATTAATGAGATCTTCAATTCTCATTTGGGTCGCGTAGGCCAAAAACCGCTCGAACTAAAATTCGAGTTTCGGGCCGTGCACTGCTATGCCAAATCTTAGAAAATTCATAACTTCTTCATACGAAGTCAGATTTGGGCGTTTTTTTTTTTTGTATGTTCTCGGTTTAACGTATACTACAACTTTTGTTTAGATCACTAAGGCTAAAAAGTCCTTTATCAAAAATTCACTATTTACGTCTCCCGGTGTCGTGCCGGTTCTGCCGTAAAACGTCGACGGGCCATAACTTCTTCGTTATAACTCGGATTTCGACGTTCTTTATATGTACGGAACCCTTGAGACATATTCTACAACTAGGTTAAGATTATTTATTCTAACTAGGTTAAGATTATTTATTCTAAATGTATTATCTCTAAATTGACTATCCCAGATCTACGGGCGTGACACTTGGTAGCTATGAATTTAGTACTGTGTAGATGAACCTTGGTAGCTATGGATTTAGTACTGTGTAGATGAACCTTGGTAGCTATGGATTTAGTACAGTGTAGATGAACCTCGGGCAACAATGGACTTTGTGCCAATTCCTGAGGTCGATCCTTAGGAACAAATGAATGAAGGATAGTTGATTCTTAGGGTAAAACCTTAAGAAATAAAGAATATAATGGGGATGGGTAATTGGGTTGATTGTTTGATGACTGAATATAATAATTATATTATTGTGGATCGAAAACCTTATATGCTCACCAGACTCCCAAGCCTGACCCACTCAATTTTTCTTTGTATTACAGGTAGTGGCACCAGAGCGTAAGTTGGATGACTTATCAAGATATTTTGGATTATAGGCCAGTAGTTGTAAATAACTGTTGTAAGGCTTATAATGTGTCGTTTATGCTTTTGGTCTGTATCGGAACATGACATCCCGAGATTTTTGTTATATAATGCAAAATACATTTCTTTAAAGAAATGCTTTGATAAATTCTTATCACATTTTGTTTTGGGAACAAATTCCGCAACAGTTTCTTTTAAACGATTACTCTGATTTTAAAACAAAGAATAAACCAATCGGTATTTTCTGGCCGTGAAATTGGGGATGTCACATTAACTACTATTATTATAAATAAATTTAAAAACAACTTAATCGAATTTTAGTTATTATAAAATATAGTTTTTAGACACGTATTAGATAATTCGATTCATAGATTTAGGTTCTTTTATATGTATTATATTTAATGTTTTCCATTTAACTATGTTAAAAAAAACTATATATTGAATTGTTTTAAAACATTATTTGATATTTTACTTTAGTTTTTAAATTTTACAATAAAATTTTAAGCTTATTTGATATATTAATGTAGTTTATTTATTTAACATTATATTGAAGTTAACAAATTAAATATATCATATTGATAAGTAATGAAGTCTTCTATTTATGATAATGTTTACAACTAAAAATATATTTAAGTTAATAAATTAAGTAATATGAAGAGTTGAGAGTTTAATATTAGTTATATTTGTCAACTATTTTAGTTTACTACTGTTATGATTTATTAATTTACAAAAAATTGACGGTGTTTTAATTTCATCATGATGATTATTTAAATTATCAACAACTGTTTGTAATCTAACATAGTTTAATTTATAAGTTTCTATTATTTTTAACTACTATTATTATAAATTAATTTAAACACAACTTAATCAAATTTTAGTTATTATAAAATATAGTTTTTAGACACATATTAGTTAAAAAACTTAATCAAATATGTTTTCCATTTAACTATGTTAAAAAAACTATATATTGAATTGTTTTTAAAACATTATTTGATATTTTACTTTAGGTTTTAAATTTTACAATAAATTTTTAAGCTTATTTGATATATTAATGTAGATTATTTATTTAACATTATATTGAAGTTAACAAATTAAATATATCATATTGATAAGTCATGAAGTCTTCTATTTACGATAATCTTTACAACTAAAAATATTTTTAAGTTAATAAATTAAGTATTTTATGTAAAAGAAAAAATGTTTCCTTTATAATATAGTGTGATATAGTTGTTTCGTAGTCAAACTTATCAATTTCGGAGTCAAAATAAAAAAATAAAAAAATAAAATTGTGCAAAATCACAGATGAATTTCAAAGAAATCACAGATGAACTAAATTCATCTGTGATAGTAGTGTGGTGTGAGGGGGTATTTATACCGGAAAAAATAAAAAAAAACTATAGAAAAACAATCTATGAACGTGCAACTGTCATTGTACGCCCACGTTTTAAACACTTGTATATTCGTAGATAAATGGCCAAAATCACATCTAACTCTAATCTTTCTAAGATTTTGATGGTTATTTTTATAATGTCGTATTTTTTTAGTTATTTTCTTTAAAATAATTAAGAAAATTGGTTAAATTTGTAATTTTTTTTTTTATAATCTTCGCTTAATTATTTTATATTCTTCTCTTAAATTAGTTGCTATCAAACCAAACAGGGGTTATACTTGTCATTTCACATGAAGACACGTTATAAAGCGACAGGGCGAGTGGGGTAACTTTTAGCCGGACGCATCAAACACCCCTTAAATATGACTGTGAGTAATTTCAGATCCGGTTTTGTCTGATATTCTCTCCCTCTCTCTCTCTCTCTCTCTCTCTCTCTCTCTCATATTTCCCAAAGCTCGCTACGGTTTTCATTGGCGTTTTTACTTGAAATCATCGAATCTGCTGCTAACTAGGTCGTAAGAGTGATCCACAGTGATAGATCCGGATCGAACCGTCCCTCTTCAGGTAAACGATCTTCTTAAATCGAAAAGTTTTCGTCAAATTTCCTGTTTTTAACTATGGAGTATGTATCTAAACGATGTATTTATTCGATTCCGTATAGATCTGATTGTTTGAACGACGACTTATACAAGTTTATGTTCGCTGTATGGTTTGGCTTCACTGGAATTAACGACGTTTTGCTAAGATTCGGTTGGTTATGGAGAAGATCTAAAGAAAACTAACCGTTTGTTTAGATCTGATTTTATATTTCGTTAGATCTATTAGGAGGGAGAACGCTAATCGCCTACTAGTGATCGTAATTTTTAGAGAGTTAGACTCAGAAATGGAGACGCTTGTAGTTGTTGCACAGCAGGATCAATTTCATAGCAGAAGCCGTGGCAGAAACCATGGATCCTTTGGTTCTTATCCTTCGAGGGATTTCAGAGAAATCAATTGCCGTACCTTTCAATCTGGGCCAGGTATACTTCCAAGCCCACTAAAGGCTCGTTCCCCACCTATTGCTAAACAGTCCTTGCCTACTTCCCCAAAAACACCATCCGCAGCCCCATCTAATGTGAAAAAGCATTTCAACTCCGACCAAAACCCTAAACACACAAAGAGAATCACTAAAAGTAATTCCGTTCCTATCCCAATTGATATTAAACATGTTGATTACTCCCTCAAGGATAACATAAGGGGTTCTTTGAATGACAATTTCTTTTACTCTGAGCTATGGGCTGGACCTGCTTATTCAAATTCACCACCTCCTAGTTCTTTACCTATACCTAAGTTTTCAATCAAGCCAAAAAGGACTGTATCTCTTAACCTGCCTTCAGTTTCAGCTTCTGATATTGATTTGTTGACCCCTGTTGCAAAATCTGCTCCCCCTTCCCCTACAAGGGAACATCACAAGTCTTCTCGTAGAGACTTCTTTAACAGTGACGATGAGTTTGCCACTAAGACTCTTCGTCGCATCCTTAATCTTGACATGGTCGACGAGTGACATACTAGGAGTGGTAATCACTCCTGTAAATAAAGATATCTACTTTCTTGCAGTAATCTAGTGTAGAGTGTATATAGGATGAATAAATCAGTAGTTACTTCCGGTTTGCATTTTAGTTTCCATGTAGTTAAGCTCAGGGTGGTGTAATGGTTCAAGGATGCTGATGGCTTGTTGGGTGGTTGGTGGTAGATCAATATTTTCTGAAAGTTGTTACAGATTCATAGGTTGTTGAAGTTTCTTGGGAGATTGAAGTATTGGGATTGATGGGACATGTTGATACTGGATCAAATGTCATGGAAGCAGATATGGGGTGTAAAAAGGGTGTGACTGCTTTCGGTGGTTGGTGGTAGATCAATATTCTGAAGTCACAAATACATATTCATAACTTGCTGAAGTTTCTATGGTTGCCTTAGGCAGTGGATAATGATCTCTTTCATTTGTGATAGTTGGTTATTGTAGTGGAGTCATCATCTTTTTTCTGCTTTTATCTTTTCTATTTATATCCCTTAAGATAGAGTTAGAATTCAAGTCTTTCCTTTCGAGGTTGTAATGCTTCTCTTCACCATCTTTTCTGGTTTTTAAGAAAGGAAAGTGGGAAGAGGAAGTAAAGAAGTTAAATAGTTGGTTGTTCTGCCATTTGGTCTTACTTTACCGTGTTGGGAAGAAGGTCATTGCCACTGTTTCTTTGGTCCTTAATTGTAGATCTTGCCAAGCCACTTGAAGGTAAGGATCTTGAATCCATAATTCGTATTCAAGTTGTGTCATTTATGCATATTGTTGATATTAATTTATTTTATACCACATTTGCTAGTTGCAGGGAAGCATCTTCAAGAGGCTGTTGATATGGTTGTAGATTTGTAGTTTCAATTTCTTGGGTTTACTTTTGAAGCTTCTGAAGCAAGACTTGTATAAAAAGGTTGATTTTTTTTTATGTTGAGGTGTTTTACCTATTGATTAATTCTAACATATGCCATATGATTTGATCCATTGCAGTTTGATGGGAGAAGCTTTTTCTCGAGGCTGTTGTTTCAGCTATGGTTGTTGGTGTTATGTTCTACTGTTTTTTACGTTCAGTTTTTGCCTTCTGAGCAAGACTTTATTTTGAAGGTTATGTTTGTTTTTGTTTTGTCTGATGAATGACTTTGGTGTTAAGTACACTCTTGAATCAATCTAGACTGCATGTTTTTTGTTTGACAACATTCTGGTATCGGATGAGATGCTTAATATGCTTTTTTATGTTTGTTTGAAATTGTTTGATCTTTTCACCATTTTAGCTTACTCTTCTTTAGTAAATGCAACAAAGTTACGATTTTATGTAAAACTTAGGTAAACTTTTTTTTAATGATAAAAAGTTGTAAGTTTTCTTGCATTAAATGGTGAAAAATAGTTGGAATTATTTTCTATCATTTTTCGTGTTGTGTTACCATATTTTATTATTTAATCTTTTTTCTAGATGTAAACAATAAGGTAAGATGCTCAATCTGTTTTTTTTAATGAAATATAACGAGGATTGGGCATTGTACAAAAAAACATCACAACTTTGATGGTTGAAAATTAAAATGTCATTTTATGTTGAATTTCTACAAATATAAACAAAAGATATAAAATTTGTTACCAATTTTTTGATGATTCAAGCCGTCGGGTTTGTTAATTTTGCAGAAAGTGAAGTAGGTGTTGGAATTTGACAATATTTGGTTGATGGTTTTGATTTTATTAATAATTCTTATTACAGATTCTATTATCTTAATTAATATTTATCTTGCTTAATTTAAGGTTACTTTCTTGTTAGACAAACGAAAAAAAGTAAGTAAATTAAAAAAGCAACTTGTTTTAAAAAAAGCTAATAGTCTTGCATTGAAAATTCCCCATTATAATAGTATTAGTTAATTTAGAATTGAAAATTCCCCACTTGGTCTCTTAGATTCCAAGTTTAAACTTGGGTATAAATGAATTAAAACTAATTTGATGAATTTAATTTAGAATTGAACTGCTAACTAGTTAAAAAAAATGGGCTATATAGAGGTTAGCATCAACTCAATTGCAGAATTCTAACATCGAATAGTATTTTGAGCGAGTTTTGAGATCTCCACAACAATTAGGCTCTCACAAAATATATTAGTTTAAATAACAATTGAAAAGTTGAACAAATTCCTTTTTTATCTCTCCAAATATCCTTATATTTGGGATTAAAGTTCTGGAAAAAGAACCACTTAGCATTTTCCTGTTCGTTTATATTTTTTGAACCAATGAAAGACATGAAAACACAAACTTTTTTTGGTATCTCTATATTTATTGAACCACGCCTTTCTCTCAAGAATATGGTCGTTATATTTGTTGAAGTATAGTCCCATATACAATAGAACATAGGTTAATATTTTTGCATTTTATTCAACTCAAGAGAGCTATTTACTCCTTCAAAGACATTACAAAAGATATTACAAGCTATCGACTTAATTGATCTTCATCGTTATCGAAGAAACTACAACATTGCATGATTTGCATCCACCTCCATAAGATAAAGTTAGAAGGGTAAAGTAGTCATTGACACAGTTGCTCTGAGTTCATCAATTCATCCATAATCATTTCTTGGCATCTGCATTCTTCACTGCAAAACCCTTTCTCACCCCTGTAATCAAAGAAATTGACAGCTTATTTCATTATCCTCAACCAAAATCAAAAGCAAATTTACATCAATTTTTTTTTTTTTTTTTTTTTTTTTTTTTTTTTTTTTTTTTTTTTTTTGTAAAATTACATCACAGATCACTTCCATTTTTTGCAAATTGAAGAAAAAAACTCAAATTTCGGCGAACCTGTACATGAAAATGTCGCTATTCTCTTCAAAATTCTTCTTGCAGGTATAACAAAAGCTTAAAAAGCTCTGCCGTTTCGATTTCGGGCCATGATCCGAATGAAAAGCATTACAACAACTGCCCACAACACAATTATCGTAAATATGGGTGATTTTTGGGTTAGACCCATATGAGATTACTCTTGTATACTCCTCTGAGAGCTCCATCTCACTCAAAGACAAAGCATCCATAGAAGCTCGAGAAGATCCGGGTCCATTTGTGGTTACCCGGCCCGGCGACTGCAAATTCCTGGACTTGATCCCAAAATCACAAGGATCTTCAGAGTGTGACGGGATTTGAATCCTGAGGTTTGATCCAAACAGAACCTTTCGGCTGATGGAATTAGGTTTGTGTATCGTATTATTAGGGTTCTCTTGAAGAAGAGCAAGAGCAATTCCATTTTCACATTCAAATTTCTCAAATGGGTTTTTGATTTCTTCAGAGATCTTTCTGGATTTTTCTGGGCTTTGTTTGAACTGAAATGGGTTACTTCTGAAAGTCGTGAAGAATTGCTTGGTGTCAAGAACTGAGGTTGGTGATGATTCTGCATCAGAAAGGGTTTTTGCCATGAAGACATTGAATAGCCTTGGAGAACCAAGAAAAGATGAAATCGGTTTGGTGGGGTTTTGAGTATTAGCCATAGAATTGAAGATCCCTTGAATTCGAAGATTTTGTGTTATCACAATACTCGATTGAATTTAATTCAGTAAGAAGATGGATCCAGAAGAAATGGATTCAAACAAAGGGCAAGAAATTTGTTCATACCCTTCATGGGTTTTATGCAATGATTGATCAAAAGGCTCACTTTTCCAAGTTTCAAAAAGTAGAAACAAAAAGAAAAGAAAACATAGGCCAAATTTAGCACCTATAAAAATATTTTTAGTCAAATTAACTTTAGATAACGTAATTTCTGAATTACAATTTAAAATGTATTTAATAAAGATTTGTTATAATACTAACAAAACTCTGAAATCTCATATCTTTTTACACATATTAGGTGTGAGACCCATGTATTACATGGGTTTAATTAAAAAAATTAAATATGAAATTTTAACAGTTTAAAAAAGTTTGAATTTATAAGAAAAATGAGAAAAATTTTAAATTATTAAAATTAGTAAAGCTTTAATGTATTGAATACATTACATATATAAACCATTTCTAATAAATACTTTACATATATATTACCTTACATATTAAATATGGAATTTTAATTTAATAAAATGAAAAATACAATAAAATGACAAGTGAAAAATAGAAAATTTAAAAATTCTAGAAAATGTCATGTGTCCAAATGAAGGAGAAGAGGACATGTGGCAAAAAACCTTCATTTATTAGAGTAGAATATTAAATATGGAATTTTAATTTAATAAAATGAAAAATACAATAAAATGACAAGTGGAAAATAGAAAATTTAAAAATTCTAGAAAATGTCATGTGTCCAAACGAAGGAGAAGAGGACATGTGGCAAAAAACCTTCATTTATTAGAGTAGATTTCAAAGGATAATGACTTGTAAGGATAACAAGTAAAGGTTTGGTAGACACTTAGTCGTTAAACTTACTTTTGTGTTCAATATACCCTTAAACTTGTTGAAATTGTTCATAAAGTACCAATATTACTGGGTACAGTGGGTTTTATTGGTTCCAGATGTTTTTTTAAGGCCAAATATGAGTTTTCTGGCCAACTTTTGAACTTTCTGGTCATCTTCCCCAACCAACTTTGTGTCCTTAGCGTTTATGTGTGCAAATATGAGTTTCTGGATTCCTCAAGAAGATATAAACATTAACCAATCAACTCGTAGGGTTTTGAATAATTAAACTCATACCCTTATGTATAAATTCATTTCTAGAATTGGCAAGAAAATGTGCACATACACCATCTTAGTTCAATCAAATTCATATTTCATCAAGACCATAAATTATTTTTCATATTCCAGCAAGAAAAGACATCTGATTAGACCTGACAATGGGGCGGATTTGGCATGAATCGACCTTGATCCAAACACTTTTAACAAATTCAAAAATCCGATCCAAATCCGCTCCGTAACCCGTAGGGTTTTGAATAATTAAACTCATACCCTTATCCACCAAGTCAACATATATGCAAACCCACCCCGTAACCCGTATATTTTTTTAATCACATTTTACTTAATTATTAAAAAAACATTTCTTAAATAAAAAATGTCTATTATAACTTACTACTTAAAAGAATATTCCTTAAATAAAACAAATATTGATTTAGAAAATGCATTACGTACTTGAGGACTTTTGATTGGAATTAAAAATTACTATTGTAGCAACTTCAGATTGATTTCTAACTGTCAATTATAGTGATAGATAATAGCAATTGCAAAATTTCTTCCAGTTGATAAATTAATTTATTGATTTATAAATGAAATTGAAGATTTCTTGATAAAATATAAATGAAATGACATCATGATTCTTGGTAGAAGACTGGAAGTCTATAACTTGACTCTTCGATTCCTAAGTAAAAACAGTTTGGTCTTTGGCTTTTGCCCCTTGTACTTACGATTGGAATTAAAATTAAATGTTAGGTCATACAAAATATAAACGTATAATTCTAAAATTTATAGGGGGCGAGTTATAAATGGAGCGAATCCGTGATGATGCATACACGACCCTTTTAATAAAAGGGTTAACGGGTACGGGTCGTTAAAGGGTATACAGATCAAAAACTATGTTCCAAACCCATATAAATCTTAAGGGTTTGGATCGGATCAAGGTCAAAACCCGCTCCATTTACAGGTCTACATCTGATGCATAAGTTCATTTTCAGATTTCCAAACTTGTCAATAAGATATGAACTCGCACCATCTTGTTCAATCGAATTTAGATGTCAACAAGTAGCACACAACAGGTGCTACGATTTCAACAGGATTCAAGTGGGTACGCCGTTTTCTGGATTTTAAACCGATGTCAACAAGATTCAGAGGGCGCACAACTTCATTAGGGTTTGTGTTAAAACACAATTTTAAGATTCAAACAATTTAAGGTTTTTCGATTTAGGGTTCGTGTTTAAACAATTTCATATTTAAACGGTTTTTAGAAAACAATTTAGGGTTTGTATTTAAACGATTTCATATTGTAACGATTTTTAGATCAAACGATTTAGGGTTTTTCAACTTTTACAGATTCAAACGATTTTCTAAGTTATAGATTCGTTTTATGAGCTTTAAACATGATTTCTAAACCCAACTTTTCACAAAAATATAAGTATGTGTTATTGAATATGTGTTTTTGTCAAGGTTCTAAATAACGTAAGGCGTGACTTGACGGCAATGTCAAGCCTCAAACTTTTCCGATCCTTGGCGAGCTACGTCGTTTGTAAGACGTGACTTAAGGCGACAATTTGGTATATAATTAATATTTTTATATGTATTTTCAACTATTATTCTATTTTATACACATATATGAGTTACGGCGGCGTTTTGGTAAAGCTTGGCGGCAGGCACAAGCCTTGGAGCCATGACGAGCTTTTTAGAACCTTGGTTTTTGTCGATTAGTGTGTTCATGAGTTATTGAGTGAAACATAGGAAGAATTTTGGAAGAAACCAGGGTGAACAACCGAATGTTTGTTTTAAATTTTTGGAGATCGTCCGAAAATTCAAAGTTGGTCGGAGAAGATGACCGGAAAATTCAAGATGGCCGAAAAACTCATCTTTGACTGGAAAAGATGCCAAAAACCGACAAAACCCACTATACCCGGTCACAGTGGTATTTTTTGAACAAATTCAATAAGTTAAATGACATATCAAACAAAAAAAATAGCGACTAAATATGTATAAAACCTAAAGTTGGTTACTCCTACAAGTCATTATCCCTATCTCAAATTAGTTTTTGTTTTTGCACACATTCATGTTTTAACATAAAAGAGGGTCTGAAATAATAAAACTTTGGTTTTGTAACTAAATGTTTAATAACTAACTTAATGGGCTATTTAATATGATTTTGACACATTTATTGATATTTTTAGATGACAATTGAGTTCTCAAATCATTCTTGAAGAAAAAAATGATTTATTAGAAGTATAACTTTTGGGTTAAGGTGAGTTTAACGAGAGTACAAGGTCTATCTTATTTCAACACTTGATTTTTGATGCTATAATTGAATTATGTTCTAACGTTTAAAGTTTGATATCACTTGATAATGCTTATTGTTATCTTTTTTATGTGTACCAAATGATATTTATTTGTATTCATGAAATTATTTTATAAAATCTGTTGTTTTGAGAAAATCTATGCATAGTTTGAAATGAATTTTAGCATCTTACTTATTACATACATGTTATGACATGTTTGACTCAGAGATCTCAGGTACCCAAATTGATTTTACTTTGTATTTGGTTTTGAGCAATAAAGTTCTAGATATTCCTCACATGTAAAAGTATAGACTCTCTACCCCTTGCGTCAGTTGTGGTTTATGACATCCTGGTTCTTGTTGGAACTTAGACAAAATCCAGGTGGTAGTTCACCACTCGTGAGTCTAAGGCTTGAGATAAAATTCGGATGGGAGTTATGTAACATCCCGACTCCCAGGTATGAAATTTTAAGGATTTTGTACATAACATAAGACCTACTCGATGAGTTGGAGGCCCCAACTCGTCGTGTAGAAACTAGTCAGGCCGCGTGGTTTATGGAACCTACTCGACGAGTTGGAGGACCCCAACTCGACGAGTTGAGGTTGTGCATGAAAACCCTAATTTTTAGGGTTTGCACCCTATTTAAAGGACCTTAAGTCCCCTCACCGCCCTCCCTCACCACCTTATTGCCCAGAGAAACCGTAGCTCGAGACGTATACCTTCTTGTGTGTGTGAGAGCCTTGGAGAGTGATTTTGGTGTGGTTGTGAAGGAACTTGGAGCTTGAAGAGGTTGGAGTGAAGGGAGAAGCTGTAGATCCGACATTTACACAGTATTAGCAACCATTTGGAGGTAAAAAGTCTTTGCTTTAGCTTTCCATTTCTTAGATCTTCTCCTATGGAAGTTTAGTGTCTTTTGGCCCATTTTGGATCCACTTTTGGAAGATGAGCATGATTCGAAGTTGTAACTTCAGATCTAGACAACTCTAGGTCCCTTAGGCCTAAAGACTCAAGCTTTATCAAGCTTTGGCCACCCTCCATGTCCTAAACCCCTTATTAAGCTTCATATGAGTGTTTTAACCCCTTTGATGCCATGCATGGACGTAAAGTTAGCAACTTTACGTGGTATCTCAACCCTAAGGGACTGGATCTGTAGTTTGGAGCTTTGGATTCAACTAGAAAGGACCGAATATGAAAAGGTTGAAGGAACTTGACGAGTTGAGTAGCCAACTCGACGAGTTGAGTCGGGTTTTCTTGCTTTCTGAATCCTGAGTAAACTCGGCGAGTTGATGAGATAACTCGACGAGTTAGTTAGGGTTTTCCCCGGTTTTCTGAACACCGAGGGAACTCGACGAGTTGCTAGATGCACTCGACGAGTTGGGTCAACATGGACTGTTGACCTTGACTGATGACTTTGACTTTGACCATGGTTGACCAAGTTTGACTTCTAAGGTTATTTTGGTAATTTGGAATCTTGATGGAATTGGTCCTATGGTGGTTGTATGGGGTTGAGTTCGTAGATGTAATTCAGAAGGGTGATCTTTTCAGTTCAATTCGACATTGTGAGTTGAGTTTTCCTCACTGTACTAAAGGGTTGAAGGCACCAAGGCCGGCCCTTTGGATTGTTATCCTGGTTATAGTATGCTTGTATGTAGTTATGATCTGTTAGATCAGTATCCTAGTAGATAGGATGTTGTTATGCTATTATGATCTGTTAGATCGGTATCCTGGTGTA